CAAATCCTTCTTTAGCTTGCTACTAGTTGGTGTGTGGCCATGACATGATGGCAGCCTTACAAAGCCAACGTAATCCGCCTGTCCTGGACTAATCTAATGCCTCAGACCTCTAAACAAACACAGTTTAACTCCCTTATTCCGCTACGTTCCTTTTGACAGCCAACTCAATCCACAACATGTTTGAAAAAGGTGAGCTGCAAACCTGTAGGCAAGTCTACATTGCCTACTGAAAAAATGTATATTTATAGAGTGATAATTTTGCAGCAATTCTGCAAAAGCAGTTGAGAAAAAGTCATAAAGCCGTTATACAATTGCTTTTACACTCAGTTCCCAACAGCTTGTTTATCACTGACATAAAACTGTTGAATAGGGAAATGGGAATTTGCTTGACTCACATTGCTCATGTTCGACATCGAGTGCTAAACATCCCACCCCCAACGTGATGGCTCCGTCAGTCTCATAAAATGTGCCTGGCAAAGCTCCTAACACCTTCATCATGATTAGCACAAATTACTTCCAAAAACGATCCGCTGAACACAAAGTGAAAATATTTGAAAAGAGTCAGATAAATGAAACACAGCTTTCCTTTTCTTTTTGGGAAAATAGAAAAGGCTGAAAGTGTTACAGCGGAGGAGACGCACAAAAGAAGCCAAGGATGCTCAGATGAGCCAAAGCCACCAGACCTTCTACATGAATGAATTCAATTTTAGGCCAAATCCTCTGGGCCTCATGTTGGTATATTACCATCTTTTGTATTGATTGTAGTATGACAAGACCAAGAAGAATGTGTAATAAATCTGAAGATTAAACACCCTTGTAAGTAAAAATCAATGACAGACGAGTTAGTAAAGAAAGCATACAGATTAACCACTCCTTAAGCTTCTGCAAACAGCTTTAATCTTAACAGGTACATGAAATAAACGACAATCATCCTGGCAAAGCTGTTGTTGTTCTTCGCAGTAAAGCTATTTATCTCTATGGTCAGATGAAGCACTAAAATTGATATGCTCTGCATTTTACAGCCAGGATATCCAAGATTGATCAATTATTAATGCTTTTTATGCTCTGGGAGCCATGCATGGGATCTACACAGTGTGGGTTGTACTTCCTGTATGTCATAGAAAATAGTAGCACTCAGATCGGCTAGGCTACGATGGTTGCTCACCAAGCCCACACACTGAACTATAATACCTGCTATAATACCATGCTAAACCATAAAGCAGAAGTGTTAGTTTTGTTTCAACTTCTGAGAGGTAACGTACAATATGTTACCCAAACTAGTACAAAGGCATCCAGCACATTAACTCTGCAACACAGGGAGTGAACAGTTCAGGGAGGTGGATTCAATTAGTTTATGTTTTTTTGTAATGGTCCAGTAGGACAAGGTACCAGATTAACTTGTAGCTGTGTGTAATTATGTATTTAGCCAAGAATGCTGAAGGCTTGGTAGGAACAATTAAACTCAAAGTTTTTTTCTCTTTTTTATTGCTTTAGGAACTGGTGGATTAATGTACACAATGAACGAGAAAGCAGTCTTTCAAACAGAGCAGGACACCTTTCCAGGCGGTCTTCTCTAGGATTGGTTTGGGTGTACGGTGAACAAAGATCTGCATTACCTCTTTTTCTAAGGCAGATCATTTCTGTCAAGATTTTCTTTTATGCTTTTCTTTGGGCAAACACTTTTCTTGAAAAGGACTATTTTACAGTAGTCATTAAGTACCAGAAAAAAAAGAGGGGGATTTAGCCTCCAGGCGTGGCATGCTGACTACATTAATATGGCTCTACATTGAGGACGTTTCACACCCTTTGTGATAAACAATCATGAAGTATTATCCACTTTAAAGGAGAGTTGGTAATGTATTTTTTTTTAAACAATATATCAACAGTTTGAATGAATAATTATTAGGGCTATCCCAATCAGACACTGCTATTAGATTATAGCAGCCTGCAGCTCAGACATTGGCATGCTGATACGAACACTCTGCTTCCGTTTACAGTTAATCAGTGGTTAATAGCACATGGCTCCTTTCTCATACCCACTGATGATTGTTCTTTGGGTAATGTAACTGATTGATCCTTTTCTAACAACAAACACAGGAAAATAAGTAAGAAAAGCAAGAATGATTTACACTGATTTTTGCTGAATTCGCATTAGGTCAGTATTGGGTTGCGATATCCTTTTGGATCGGAAATTAAAGTTTTCCTGATAATATCAAATTAATCATACCTGTGATTTGTACAATTTAAGCTCCACTCATAACCTTATGTTCTCTGTTTTTTTCTCATCACAGTAGCTTTATCTGGACTGTTGCTATTCGGCTGGGACTCCATCCTGAATTGAAATATCAGCTGTGCTGCTGCCATCGACATCTCTGTTTATAGATATTGGAGCTTGGCCTGTGATTAGCAGAATTGGCTTGGAGCTCGTCTGTCTGGCTGTATCTTCCTGGACGGGGCCGCCTGTGGAGCTAGTTAACAGTTTTGTATCTTTTTCTTTGTCTGCTTCTGTCTCCTTGAACCCCGGTCAACCTCAGCAGATGACTGAGCCTGTTTTTGCTGGAGGTTTATTCCTGTTAAAACTGAGTTTTCCTCTCCACCTACATTCCATGCATGCTTGGAGTGAGGGATAGCTGAAGAGTCGTCAATAAAATGCAAGCGAAAAGCAAGGTCACCAGCTCATCCATTGCAAGTCAATGACTCGATGCAATCAACTGGTTTTCCTAACCAATCTGACAGTGTAAATGTAAATAAACCGAAGTGAATTTATGATTTACTCTTAACTCATCACATGCAAAATTAACAGGAGAAATAAACTAACATAAAATTGCTAGGCGCTGACTAAAGGTAAAATGAGATTAGTTAATATCCCTGGATCTAATTTACCCTAGAGACTACAGACGTGTGTCTGTTTCTGTTGTTGTTTGTTTTGGCAGCCAATGACCACATTTTTTCCAGGATATAATCTTATTTTTGTACATCTCCAATAAATAATTTATACTAACATGAGATCGTTCCAACAGTTACGCTCTCATTGGTGTTTAAAATGAAACTGAAATGTAGCCTGTAAACAAAATGTAATGTTAGAATAAAAAAACACTATTTCTAATTCAATGATGACAAAACCAATATTTTAAGGGAAAAAAGGAGAGCATGAAATGAAGCCATTTCCTGAAGGACATTGTCTCAATTTGTAACCCATAGGGAGACATCTTGGACTTACGGTACTTTGACCACCTGTGATTTTAAATAATTCTCTAAACTCAGACTCCTCTGCTGGAAACTGTTGGAATGCGACTCCAATAGATAATATCTATTGGCTGAAAGTGAATTAGACTCACTTTGTTCAAACCAGAAACCCTGATCTATCATATCTCTTTGGACTCAAGAGGCCCAAAATGAGGATCACTTCCTGCGATCAGTGATTAAATAAACAAAAGCAGATATGAAATGAGCGACAAATTGAAGAAACAAAACAATTTAACTAAAACTTTTTTTTTTTAAGTGGGGAAAAAAAAAAAAGTCGTCAAGAAGTACAATTCAAGCATTCAGCAAACAAACTGTAAAAGAGTTGGGGGGTTCTGTAAGTGACTGATTTCATCAATTCCCTAACACATAAAATCAATAAAAGCAGATAGTTCCAAATTTCTATAGTACCAAAATGTCCAAATAAACCACAACGAGCCACCATTTTGTAGGTTTAAAAGTTTCATTAGTGAAGACTTTATTCCAGGACATAATCAAAGCCAGAAGGAAACCATGTTCACACTGCTCTTACAGCCCAGTTAAAGAAAGGAAACACATGTGAGAGGGATATAAGAAACCCCTCTCTGGGTTTCTATGGGTCCATTCCACTCAGGACCCCCCGGGGTCACAGGTTCTTATTTCTGTCTTAGTATTATTTTATAATGAGAATCCATTATGAGTGCACTCACACATGTGTTTTTTCACAGTTAATAAATGTTATTGGGATAGCTGACTGTAAGGTTTCTTCAGTTAATCCTTTATAGGGCATACCCCTTACAAATGTAGTTCCCTTCGTCCCTTAGTGAGGTCTAGAAGCACAAGATCCATGTCCAGCCATTCAGCAAAGATACTGCTACATGGCTGTACATCTTATTTTGGCATTTGACCAATTGGATGAGCCCTAGAATGATATATTACCTATTGTAAATTAAGTTGAAAAAAAAAGTTTTCAAGTTAAGAAAAATGGTAAATGCTCAGTGGAGCCTTGCAGCAAAAGGGTTCAGGTTTGATTAACACAATATTATACACATATATCAGGGCTGCAACTAACGACTATTTTGCAAATCGATTAATCTGTCGATTATTTGTTTAATTAGTAATTGGATAGCAAAAGACTTTTTAATCTTTCTGCATGTTCTCCCTGTGCATGCCTGGGTTCTCCCGGGTACTCCAACTTCCTCCAATAGTCCAAAAACATGACTGTTAGGTTAAATTAAGTTGAAAATAAGTTATCAAGTTAAGAAAAAAAGGGTGAAAAGTTAAAAAGTAAAGTTACAATTATATTGAGATTTATAAACTAAAAAAATATAAGTGCCAGTATCAGCATTAATGCCTATAAGGTTATGTTGCACCAATAAAAAAGTGTTTCTTTCACTCTCAGTGCATTTCTTATAGAAACACTTTTTTTTGCCATCAAAATATCTATATTATTTGAACGTTACAAATGTAATAAGGTCTTGTTCTGGATTCCAATAACACTGTTGGCTTGAAACAAATATTTCTCTCTAAAGGGTTAAACAGTAATAGTTAGCATTTACCTAGCAGCTCTTTATTGGCTGTTTAATGGAGAGCTAAGTTAGCTCTCAGATGAAGCTAACTAACGTGCGAGCTTAGCAGGCTGGCACAGTAACACAATGAGCTGAGCTGGCTAGCTGCTGCATGCTGTGTTCCAGCTAGCCACCAAACGTTAAAGGGCTAACCACCCGGAGCAACGTTAACAATGATGGAAAAACCATTTAAAAACGGACCAAACTTACCGACTTAACTGAACAATCCTATTCCCAACCGCTCACCGTCCATGGTGGTGCTCGCTCCCGTCTGAAGAACTAATCAATCAAAGGCGGTTGAGTTGCAATAAAAAAAAGAATAAAATAAAAATAAAAGCCTCTAAATAAAAGCTCTAGTAGAAACCAGTGGCAGCGCTCCCCCAGACACCCAACAACAGGAGAGAGAGGAAGGGGAGATTCACTGGACTTCTGCCATCACACTTCGACACACCGACCACAGCAGAAAAAAATAGCCGAGTCCCAGGCGCATTTTCCCCGCTGCTGTTCCCAGCCGCCTCGCGAATCGGTCAACAAAAAAAAAATAAAACCAATCCCTCTATGAACGGCTCCCCATCCAGGTTAATTCCTCCGTATTCGCCGTTTGTAGCCGAGCACCGCGCTTTGCTTCTCTGTGTGGGAACCGATACAATGTAGTCAGCCAGCAGCAGCAGCAGCAGCAGCAGCAGGGGGAGCGGCTAGGAAAGCCAGGACACACCGATTCCTGCTGGATTGAACTGAAAGGAAAAGCTGGAACTGGATCAGGCGGAGCGAGTCTGATGATTATCAAAGAGAAAACGTCCTCCCTTTGAAGCCAGCTGCTATGAGCTGACACACACAGGGGCGTTTGTGTAGCTGGTGGATGGGGGGTTAGGACTTTAGAAATACTGAGGTCATCAGTTCAAGTTGCATTAATCCCTCAGTTTAAAATTGCTTTTAAAGATGTCCTCTCATAGGTCAGCAATGTCGCTCTGCTGGGAAATTTGTAAGTTTGCTTAAAGTATGTATCTACCTCCAGAATCACAAACATAATAACACATACACAAAAAAAGCACTTCATTTAATTGGATTTTGAAATAATACGTTTCTTTTCAGGGGCTTAGCTAGATGGGGGGCCAGGGATGGCCTTGACCAATCATTGGCCACCCCTGTGGCCATTTTTTCTCTTTAAAGTGCGGCGTACACTGTGCGATTTTTGGGGCGATTTTCCAGTCGTGCGATAATCTTTCGATCGGGCTGACTTTCTGCCTAATCGTGCGTCAAGAGTCGTGTTATGTACAGGGGGTTATGAGCGGCGATCAGCCTCTCACGACCACCTCCCGATCAGGAATCGTGAGGTCGGGAGAATATCAATCATGTTTGATTTTCTCCTGACCGTCGTGGGCAAATCCCTCAGGGCGCAAACAAGGATTCTTCTTTTTCTTCTTCCCCTCAGATGTAAACACAGCAGTGTGGCTGGGGTGCAATGAATGAAATGCAGTTCTGTCTGTAAAATTGACAGACCATAGTAGCAAAGTTTGCTCAGCCATGTCTTTTTTCCAAATACATCATCGCCTTTTCTTTTAAGGGCTTTCAGCACAAACTGCCTAGGCAGCATGTTTCACTATAATAAGCTTTTGTGTGAGCAGGTAGATCGCATCAGAGTGTCGGGCCGGACATAAATCATGAGCTGTGAACTCACACTTTACGACTAAACCCTGCGATTAGCTGTGATCAGCAGCTGCATGCAACAATTGAAAAAAATCGCGCAGTGTACGCCCGGCTTAATACAGACGGTGGCAGCAGTAATACTCTCGAGTGGAATATTCAAAACATTTTAATTTTTCATATATTACCAATTACTTGACAACAATGGAGTAAATATCAGTAAGTAGAGACTGCAGTTGCTTAGGGGCCCCCGACCTCTTAGGGGCCCCGTCACTGACTCCTGGCAGGCACCTTACGCAATTGTAGACTAGGATGACTGTTTGCGGATGTAATCGTGCAAAAAATTCTTATTTTACCCACCTGATGCTAGTTTGTATTTGTACTGCAACACATGCCAGATTTCAACATGATTGTGAGCCGTTTAAATGCGACACCAATAGCAAAGCAGGCAGTGGTACCTTTAATTACTAAGTTAATAACTGTGTATAGTTCATTAGACGGTTGGTAAAAAATACGCCCATATAATATGTTTCAAACCGCAATAAAGATCTTAAAAGAACGATGTATTTGAGTATTTTATTTTTTACACTACCACTTGGAATTATGGGTAATCCAGAGTGTAGATTAAAACCATAACCGTTACGTACAATGTGTTAGGGAAGGGGGTGTTGCACTTCGTATGGGGCCCACCCAGATAATGTTGCTTATTGTTGGGTTGTTACGCCATTGCTTGACAACAAAAACCCTGTGGTAAATTATGCTCATCAATATACTAACATTAAAGATTATAAATACTGAAGGATTATTGATAAAAGTAGGTAAGTAATGACAGAACTCAAACCTGAAAGAATTTTATCCACTACACCTTTAATTTAGACACCATGCATGTTTAAATATATGCATCTATTTGTTAGCAGAGGCTGTAGGAAAGTATAGTTAGTCTATATTTTGAAAATATGGATGTTGCGCTCATTAATTTTCCTGTTGGAACAATGTAGCCTCCAAACAAGAAACATTGGATAAACATTGTTGTCATACTGTACTCCTGAAAAAAATCCTCCACATTGGCTAAATTTGACCGGATATGGAGTCCCTTCTTAGACATTTTAACCAGATTAGACCTGAGAGACTGATCAATATTAATCTTTACTGTGTTTCAATTATACCAATATTTTTGTTGTGCTCTTTTCTCTTAATTCTGACCTTTCAAAAATATTGTTCATGCTTAATATAGTACTACAGTGCACATGTGTTACTAATGGAGAGAGTGGGTGGGGTGTGTGGGTTTGTTTTTGTTGTCTCTTTTTCATTTTTTTGAGGTTCCAAGAATAAGAAAGAAAAAGACACCATTGTACATTGGATGTTGATTTTATTTGGACATATGTTCTGAATAAATATTTACATAACAAAAATTACACACATTTGTTACTTAAGTAGAAGTATAGATCCTGCAGGTTAAAAACACTCTGAGAAAAGCTGAAGTATCAGATTGGCTTCTTTACGTAAGTAAAAGTGAAAAAGTATGTGCACCAAAACTACTTAAAGGAGAAGTTCGGTTTTTTACACTTTAAGCCAATTTTCTGTAGTGTCCAGGATGAAATCGAATGAAGGACACCAAAATTTTGACAATTGCTCCTGTCTCTGCTTTTTGGCTCATTTAGAATCACCCCCTGGCTGCTTTAGAATGGCTAGCATAGAGCATGTCCGATAATGTCCTTAAAACAACCTTAAACGTTCTTTTTTTAAAATATGCTACTCACCGTGTCGTCAGCGCTGTTCAATGACGTTCCAAAAAAAGTTTCGTGAAGAAAAAACGTTCCTGTAGTGTTTTATTTAGCATTTTGTAAATCCCATTGAGTTCTGTAGGAATAGTCAATATTCCCCTGCCACCGGAAACGGAAATGGGGCCTGTTTACACAGTTGTAGTCTTTTCGCTTCACTCTGTGTACTCCGACGTCGAGAATCAAGAATCCACCTTTCGTATTCCATTTTCAGAGTTTTTTAAAGTGTTTAACAGAGACGTTAGCACCTCGACGTCGGAGTACACAGAGTGAAGCGAAAAGACTACAACTGTGTAAACAGGCCCCATTTCCGTTTCCGGTGGCAGCGGAATATTGACTTTTCCTACAGAACTCAATGGGATTTACAAAATGCTAAATAAAACACTACAGGAACGTTTTTTCTTCACGAAACTTTTTTTGGAACGTCATTGAACAGCGCTGACGACACGGTGAGTAGCATATTTTAAAAAAAGAACGTTTAAGGTTGTTTTAAGGACATTATCGGACATGCTCTATGCTAGCCATTCTAAAGCAGCCAGGGGTGGATTCTAAATGAGCCAAAAAGCAGAGACAGGAGCAATTGTCAAAATTTTGGTGTCCTTCATTCGATTTCATCCTGGACACTACAGAAAATGGGCTTAAAGTGTAAAAAACCGAACTTCTCCTTTAAAGTATAAAAGTATAAAGTAACCTAAAAAAAAAAACAGCCAGATGCCACTATGTGAAATGAAAGCTCAATTATTCGACTATTAATAAGATAGGGCCAAGGATGAGGGAGGTCTTGTTGGTCTCCATCTCTGAATGTCCGCCCTAACCCCTAAATCTCTCAGTCACTATACAGAGCTGGGACTATATAGTGAACTTTATAGTGAACCAAGTTAACTGACAATTCAGACAGATGATCACTACTTTTTGCTCCATTGCTCACATAACTCCTCCTCCTCGGCACTGTGCCAGAGCCATCTTTGTTATTAGTCGCCGTTGTCGGGTAGGAACAGCCTATGCTGACAACAGGCTGCTGTGACTGCAAATCCCATAATGCTCTGCACGGAGAGCTCCCTGTGCAAAGCATTCTGGGATATATCTGCCTCTTCTGAGGCCTTTCTTTTCTTCTAATACACTTCGTAGACACTTATTCTCTTAGGACCCTCGGCGATTTTCAAAGAACCGCGGTGAGAAAGGTGAGCTTCAATGACTGTCTGAAACCGTAGCTCACCACAGATACACATACTGAAGGTGTGCATGCGCATAAAACGATAGCTAACAGGATGAGCACGTAGGACGTCTAAAGTAAACATATCACCAGGATGATTGACAATTAGGAGGACCACTTATTTTGATGATCCACCAGAAATAAAATATCTTTGTCTATACCTTTAAGTGTCACTGTATGGCTTGTCAATAAATAAATTTCCGATTTCTTTTTTTGGTTATTTAATGCATAGTAAAGATACCCAACATTTTAAGTCTACAAATTTACAAAACTGCAGCATATATTACTTTTTCTAATACAAATCGACAAATTAAAAATGCATCCATTAGAGGACCTGTAAGGTGTGATTTTCTTATGTATCAAAAACCAATAAAAAAAAAAGATCCAAACTGTTCACATCTGATTGGAGACCGGTTCTTCTTTTATTATTTGAAAACTTTGTAAGCTACACCATTACCCTACAGAGTCAAAGAAAAACCAAAACAAATATTGACCTTATTGTTGTCGTGGCAAATGCAGTAGAAAATATTGAAAATAAAAAAGGTAAAGTATTTCTTCTGCATCAATTTGTTCTTTAACATTCTTGACATTTATTTGTATTCTTTATGCATCTGAGTTTTAAAAAAAGCCACGAACCTGCACATAAAGTCTGTTTACCAGCATCATTTATAGCCATTAAATTGGATGTTATTATCAAACAGTTACTCAGTACTCAAGTAGCATTTGTACCATTTTTAATTTTACTTTAATTTCTTGGATGACTACTTTTTACTTTTGCTTGGGTAAAAAAATGTTTAATTAGTGCTTCTCTTACTTGAATAAAATTTTTGGGTAGTCTACCTACCTCTGATCTAAGATTATAATGTTCTTAAAAATATTTTCTACAACAAGCATTTCTCAAATTGGATTAAGGGTGCTTTTATATTACATGTCTTTGATAGAACAAGACTAGACCTATGTTCTGAGGCAAAGTTCTGATCCACATTTAAGAACTCTCAGGAGACTAGTATTAATGTTT